GGAATCTTATCTCGCTGCCTTGCTCGTGTTATCTCCGTCCGGAAGTACACTAGAAACTGCTCTGAGTTTCCAAGTACCGTGACTGGGTCTCCCCACGTGAGCAAAGCCTGCCCACGTCCGCCCTGCCCCAAGGTGCTTGTCCCTCCCCCCAGGGCATTTGTGACACCCAACGGGCCTTCTGCCCTCTGAGGAGCTACCTCCCCAGGAAGTGGTCTTAGGGGAGTCCATCCCCAGCCAACCAGGAGAGCAAAATCTGGTGCCAGCTCTACTGCTGACACCATGGCTTGGGCGGGTCACTCTGCCTTGCGGAGCCTCCCTCAGTTTCCTCATCTGTAAAATGGGGATAAATTGTATCTGTACAGAACCCAGCTTTTATGTGGCTTAAATAGAATTTCACCCTCATCAATGTCATCACCACTGCTGTCACTGCTGCCTTTACCCGGTGGTCACTGTGTGCCAAGCACAGTTGTAAGTGCTTTACAGGACCATACACTCAGCAGATAATTGCTGAGCACCAGCTGTAGGCCAAGCACTGCTCCAGGCATTGGGATGGAGCAGTGAGTAAAAGAGTAGACTCCTGGCCGGGCGCGGTGGCTCAAGCCTGTAATCCTAGCACTCTGGGAGGCCGAGGCGGGCGGATTGCTCAAGGTCAGGAGTTCGAAACCAGCCTGAGCAAGACCCCGTCTCTACTATAAATAGAAAGAAATTAATTGGCCAACTAATATATATATATATATATATAAAATTAGCCGGGCATGGTGGCGCATGCCTGTAGTCCCAGCTACTCGGGAGGCTGAGGCAGAAGGATTGCTTGAGCCCAGGAGTTTGAGGTTGCTGTGAGCTAGGCTGACGCCACGGCACTCACTCTAGCCTGTGCAACAAAGTGAGACTCTGTCTCAAAAAAAATAAAAAAATAAAAAAATAAAAGAGTAGACTCCTTACTCACAGGAGGCTTATATTTTAGTAACAGAAGATGGAAAATTTAGAAAATAAAGGAGGAAAAGACTCAATTCTCAGAAATCCTAGGAAAAAGTGAAGCAGGAAAGAGAGGTGGGTCATGGGAACTGGTGTTTCAACTTTATCTTGTCTCATCCTCATGGCAACCCCGTGTGGTAGATAATATCCCATATTTCCAGTGAAAAAACTGAGGCACAGAGTTGTTAGGTGACTTGCTCAAGGTTGCACAGCTAATGAGCAGCAGAGCTGGGAGAGGCAGAGGTCTGCCTGACTCCAGAGCAAGGGGGAGTCACTGGGGAGTGACTGGGGAGTCACTTACCCTCTTGGGCCCCCTTCCCCACATCTCTAGGTAGGGAGAGTGGGACGTACCTCCTTGCGGTGGTGAGGCTCAGTGAGTCTGTCTTTGATTGTAACCCACAGGCCTGGAGCTGCCAGGCCAAGCCCCATTAGCCGCTGAAGCGTCACGGGGTCATGGAGGAAGGGGACTCCCCTCCTAGGGGGCTGGTGAATGGAGCTGGACGGTGGCCTTCTGGGTGTGGACAGATGTGGCCCAAGGAGGGGTGCCCAGCGGGCCATTGTTTCTATGGGGCAATGTGGGGCTGAGTGGAGGGCGGGAGACAGTGGGTGAGGGACAGACACTGGGTGAGGGGACTTCTCTGTTCAAATCCCTGGAATCTCATTGTTGGCTTTTTTCTCCCTGTTTTTTATTTGGAAGACTTTCAAATCCTCAGAAGAGTTGAGCAAACAGTGCAGTGAATTGCACCAGTGGCTAACGTTCCCCATCCGCACTCTCTCTCTCACACACACGCATCACACAGTTTTTGTTTGTTGTTTGTGCATCTACTTGGAACCATTCGAAAGTGAATCGCAAGCATCATATCCTCCATCCCTAGCTACTTCATCACATCTTTTAGAGACAAGGGTAGTCTCCCACATGCCTACGACCAAACTTTCTCGCACCTAAGAAATTCTACATTGCTTAATATCATCTAATATGCAATCCAAATTCAAATTTCCCCAGTTGTTGCCCAAATGTTCTTTATTCCTACTTTTTTCTCTTTTTCTAAAAGGGGATCTAATTAAGGATCACACATTATATTTATGTGTCATTTCTCTTTGGTCTCTTGAAGATAGAACTATCTCCTGCCTTGTTTTTTCTTTTACACCATCAACATTTTTTAAGAGTCTATTCAGTTGTCCAGGAGAATGTCCCACATTCTAGAGGACAGTGTGAGTCAGGGGAGCAAGTAGTAAGGGGGTGAGCTCCCAGTGCATGTCCAGAGCAGGGCCTGGTCCCAAGAGGGGTTCCAGGGTCAAGTATGATCTCTCCTGCCCTGGAGCTCACGGCTAAGCTATGTCACCTCCCCCAGGAAGCCCTCCTGACTAGTGAGTTGCTCCTTTTCCAGTGCTCTCCCGGCACTTGACGCACTGGTTTGCTGCCCCTTCCATGCCGCACTGTAATCATGTTTGTGTCTTCTCCCGTGAGGCTGAGTGCCTCTAGGGGAGACCAGGAGGTAGTCTCACCTCTCCGTACAGGCCCAGGGCTCTGCTTGGGTGCGCAGGTTGTGTCCGCACAAGTGGGGCCTGGCATCGGTCCATATTCCACCTGTCAAACCATGAGCCTCGGTACTGGGCTGTGTCTGCCAGGGGGAAGAAGCGCCTTTTCCTAATTCACCCGAGGGAAACATGGATCATGGCAGGCCTGCTTAGCATTGTGCTGGCATTCAGTTGGTGCCCAGTAAATGCTTGTCGCTTAATGCTTGTGCATGATAGAGCTTGGGAAGGGTTGGGGCAGAAGGGAATCTCGGAAGAGGTGCACTGGTAACTATTCTTCTGGGGGGGCGGGTGCCCCGGTGGGTAGCATTTGCCGATTCCCATGGTGTAGACACTCCCACGTGGCCGATGGCAAGCCACTGAGTGAGGAAGAGACCTGCACAACTGGCTCTCGTGAGCCCCTCAAATCGGACTCCAGCACATCACTGCAGGTTTAAATTATGGTCTGCATAAAACTGCACCTGAAACAGACTTTGAAGAGGGAGAGAGGGAGAGAGAAAGAGGGACTCTACTTCGCTTTGAAGCCGGGGCCTCCCCAGGGTGAGCAATTGCCTGTGGGAGGAGACTTGCCCAAGGGGAGGCCGGCCATGAACCCAGCCCCCAGGAAGGAGCCCGCCCTGCCTGAGGCACAGCCCTCTGACCAGCCGGCTTGGCCTGTCTGCGGCCTTTGGCCCCAGCAGAGAAAGCCCCGAGGGGCGAGTCCTCCGTCTGACAGACCTCTTCCAGACCCAGCCTCCCTCTTCCTTGCCCTGGGGGCCTTGCCTGACCTTCGGGGACAGATGAAGGGCCCCAATTAACGAATTTGACAACGCTCACTTGAGCACCTACTGTGTGCCAAGGGGCTGGAGAGCAGCGTGGACCAGGGCACACGAGACATGCCCAGGGGGAGCCCGGGGCATCCTAGGACCTTGGCCTGCTTGAGCGGCTGCAACAGGGCACCCCAGAATGGGCCATTTACACAGGACAGATATTTATTTCCCCACAGTTCTGGAGGCCGGGAGTCCAAGTTGGAGGGGCTAGCATCCGGCAGGGCCTTCCTGCTGTGCCGTCCCGCGGCGGAAGGCGGAAGGGCAAGAGGGAGCACGAGAGAGCCACAGGGGGCTGCACTCATCCTTTTGTGAGGAGCCCTCGCGGCAGTGACAGTGACCCTCTCACGAGGGTGGGGTCCCCGTGACCCAAACGCCTCCCATTCAGCCCGCCTCCCTGGGGACAAAGTTTCTAACTCATGGCCTTTGGGAGACACATTTAAACCATAGCAGGGGCCGGATGCGGTGGCTCTCGCCAGTAACCCTGGCACTCTGGGAGGCCGAGAGGGGCGGATCGCTCAAGGTCAGGAGTTTGAAACCAGCCTGAGCAAGAGCGAGATCCCGTCTCTTGTAGAAATAGAAAGAAAGAAATTAGCTGGACAACTAAAAATACATAGAAAAAATTAGCCGGGCATGGTGGCGCATGCCTGTAGTCCCAGCTACTCAGGAGGCTGAGGCAGGAGGATCGCTTGAGCCCAGGAGTTGGAGGTTGCTGTGAGCTAGGCTGACGCCACGGCACTCTAGCCTGGGCAACAGAGTGAGACTCTGTCTCAAAATAAATAAATAAAATAAAGCACAGCAGGGTCACAGACAAGGGGGCACTAGACCCGGCTTGAGCGCAGGGGTGACAGCAGGGAAGGCGGCCGCTAAGGTGAGGCAGGAAAGGTGTCAGGGGGCAAGGGGTGCGAGAGCTGGGCGTTTGGGGCCAAGGGAGCAAGGGTGGGCGGGAGTCGGGCACTCTAGGGTCTCCAGGGGTTCCAGTGGGTTGGTCAGGTGGCAAGGGCAGGGAGGTGGCAGGACAAAGCAGGAGCCACATGGGGCAGGACCCTTAGCGCTGCCTGCCGGGGGAGGTCCTGCTTCCCGTGGGCGGGCGTGTGGGAGGAGCAGGGAGAGGGGCTGGAGCAGAGGACGGTGGGTGACAGAGGGCGGAGGTGTGGGGGAGGCATCCCTCCCGCGGGCCGGGTGGGTCCCTCTGAGCGGAAAGGTGAGAGGCAGTGAGCCAGAGCAGCGGCCGAGTCGGCTGGGGAGGCGGCGTCTGGCCCTCGCAGCGCGGCCCTGGAGGGCTCTGTGTCCCCCTCTCCAGGCCAAACACCAGCACCTGTTCTGCACGAGGGCTGTTTGATCTAATGGCCAGAGACTTCTCTTTCTTTTTTCTCGTGCTGCCTTGTCTCAGATGAGAAGACTTTTGATCGCTGGGCTGACCTGCAGGAGACGAGGGCACGTGGGCACTTGGGGAAGGGCGTCCAGGCAGGGGACCCAAGGAAGGGCCAAGGCCCTGAGCGGGACGTGCTGGGGCCGTGGTGGCTGGGACATGAGGGCAGAGACCTGGCAGGTGGTCAGGCGGGGCTTCGTCTCCGTGGCCGAGTTCTCCCAGGGGTGATGGGAGCCAAGGGAGGCGTTTGAGCTATTAGAGGGTTTGACTGTTCAGCAGCCCAGTGCCCCTCACTTATTCTCTGTCCCCAGGGCCAAGGCACCATGGAGAGTGGACAGCAAGTGTCTCGCAAAGGCCGGAAGCTGGGCTCCAGCCGGCGGCGGCAGACAAGAGAGCCAGCTGACGGCCAAGATGCCCCTGCGGCCCCAGGGCCAGAGTCCTGGTCCTCTCAGGCAGCTACAGAGCTGCAGAGCTTCTTCCAGGACTGTGGTGCCCAGGAGAGGGGCTTTGTCACCCGTGAGGACATGGCGGTGAGCCCAAGGGCCCCATCTGACCCCCTGAATCCCTTTTCTGTAGCTTCCTGAGGCTTCCCGCCCCTGGAAGGCAGTGCTTGCCTATTGTTTCCCCTTTCTCTCATCTAAAATTTGCTCTCAGAAAAGGCTAGGAATCTATTTATACTAACATGTAAATGACTGATAAGGCTTTGCCTGTTACCTTCTTCCAGAAACATTTGCATTTTAACAAAGGAAGGGACTTTAAACCAAAGAAGTACTGTGCAAATGGTATATAATGTTAGGCTCATTGGGCAGAGAAGTTTATCTTGGGGAACAATCAGAGCCCTGGAAACTAAACCCTGTTGCTGACTGCAAACCTCAATGAAACATTGCATCGACCATGGTTGTGGGTCCCAATAAGGAGTCTTAGGCTATGTCCTAGACCAAGTTTTCTTTGGTTTCTCCCCATTCACTGTCGAGGGTCCCATGCTGGAGATGCCCTGGGCCTGCTGCCTCCCCCAGATGCTGCTCTGTGCTCTAGACTTTGTCCTTTCCTCACCCATCCAACCCTAGAGTCCATCCCTCAGGGCCACAACAAGGTGTGAATAACTGATGTTAAAATATAATTTAAAAACAAATTTTTAAAAATGAGTCCAGGCACAGTGGCTCATGCCTATAATCCCAGTACTTTGGGAGGCTGAAGTGGCAGGATCGCTTGAGGCCAGGAGTTTCATACCAGCCTGGGCAGCAGTATAGTGAGACCTCCCCCCCCAAAAAAAAAAAAGAAAGAAAAGAAAAATTAGCCATCCATGGTGGCACATACCTGTAGTCCCATCTACTCAGGAGGCCGAGGCAGGAGGATTTCTTGAGCCCTGGAATTTGAGGCTGCAGTAAGCTATTATGATACCACTGGTGACAGAGAGAGACTCTGTCTCAAGAAAAAAAAAAAAAGAAAGAAAGAAAATAAAGACTTCTGAGTAAATATTAATATAAAATCAACACTTATCAAAGGTCTTATCTAATGAATTATTATTAATAATTAATGAGGGAATCAGTAAGATGTTATGACTGCTTCAAAGAGTATTTGAGAAGCTAGGATATTTATAGGCAATTTGACAGAAAAGTGTTAGGATAAGATTGATGAATTCAATTTAAAAGATGGCTAATGTCCAACTGTCCATAAATCTTTGGGGCTATCTGTTCTGTTCTACTAGACAAAAATTATTTTCATCTCTCCTGGATAAAAATCTACAAGTTAACAAGTAACTTCAGTAAGTCTAGGAACCTTTAATTAAAGATAAAATAACGAGATGAAGTAAGTCCATCTCTCTAGTCTAGACGATGCTTGGGTGGTCTTTGCTTCTGTATAATATTGAAAGAATGTGCTGTCTACCATTTTGCCTTATTTCCAAGTTTCAGATCATTTTTCTGTGACCGTAAGTAATCTCCACAGCTTTTTCTTGATGGATAAAAGGCTGGTCTCATTAGGCTGGGCTTGGTTATTTCCATAGGTATAGTGGGGCTGTAAATTAAACATATGGGCCTCTTCGAATTTGCTCTGCTCTACAAAGGGAGACCTTCACAGTGTTGAGCCATTTTAGCTTCTGTCCAGAAGTCTTCATATGGAATCTTAGACTGGATTTTTAAAACCTCTGTAGTTTGCTCATCTATTGAGTGACCAACTAACTGTTCCCGTTTTCCAAGGACTGAAGGGCACTTGGGATGTGGAACTTTGAGTCCTAAAACTGGGAGAGTCCTGGGCAAACTGGGCCAAGGTGGTCATCCTACTTGTATCCTAAGGCTAGAAAATAAAGCCCAAGATGTCACCTGCAGCGCCTATACACTTGAGTGACTACCTCTGTTCTTGACGTCCCCAAGTTTTCTGCCAAGAGGCAGCCTTCCTGACCACAGGGTTCCAGGCTAGCGTCCTGGCAGGACCTTGCAGGCACTGGCTCCGTGGGTGTTCCTTACAGAGGGCTTGTCACACCCCATTAAATGAGAATCACTCTATAAAACAGCACTCCAGGTAGGGCCGTGCTTGCACAATTGATTTATCCAATTATAGCCTGGAAAAAAGGAGGATAGAGTCTATTGAACCTATAAAAATAACTATTAATATATTGCCATGGAAAGTAAGGAGATTCAGTAAAAGTATTGGTTTATCCTCATAATATTTGGAAATAAAAAAATTTTTTGAAAAGTGGGAGAAACTTAGGAAAGTTACCCCCAGACAGTGGGACTCTGCTATGTGGTATCTCCGTCCAACCAATATGGTGTCTTATTTTATCTCAACAAAATTCAACATCATTTAGGTTAACACCTCTGTTCTCTTTTAAAATAAAAGACAACACCTTGAAAAAAAAAAAAAAACTATTGGTTTCTGAATCATGAAGAGGGCGGACAGGGAGATTCAGATACCATTTAAAATGTTTAATTTCAGTTTACAAAAACATAATCTGCTAAATTGAGGATTAGAAACAGTTTAAGAAGACAGAGAAAGAACTTCCTCACAGATCTGTTAAAGTAGAACAATAAAAAATAATATCCACCATATTCCAACAAATAGCCACAACTAGATTTCCTTCATCTGTTCCTTTCATGCCACATAATTAAGGTTTTTTTTTCTGTGGGATCTTGGGTAAGCTGTCTGCTCTTGGGCTCAGAAGAGTCCTAGAAATCCTCAATCTGCTAGCTCAGTCTGAAGGTCATCCAAGGTCAGCTCAGAAGCTTGTACCCAAGTGAAGCATAAATAGTTTACAGAACCTGGTACAGCTCTTTTTCTCCAGTCTTCGAGTTTGCCCCTCTTTGCTGAAGACACAAACTGTGACCTGCAGCTTGTAACAGAGTCTTTAGGCAGGGACAGGAAAGCAGAAGCCTGTCTAGTGATAGGATTGACAGGCTGTGGTTGTTTATTGCAATACCTAATACTATCAGAAGGGAGACAGTAAAATTCTCTGCTGGGGTACAGGATATAACTATTTCATGAGAGTTTGATCAGTATTTCCCCAGAAATTAAGAACGTACTATGGATGGCAAAGGCATTGAGAATTTCCACAGCCTTCCCATAAGGCATGCAATTTCTGAAATATTTATATTAATAGCATTTTACCTATGTAAACTTAGCCTAGGAGAGGCTGAATAGCTCTTCTGATTTGGCCATTCTTTCCATGATGCTCTTATAATAGTGTTGAGGTATTTAATAAATATAGAGAGAGATAACCTAACATTTTATTTTATTTTTTTCTAAATTTAAGATCTGATCTTGGATCAAATCAACGAAGAGCTTCAGACGAGGTTTGGCACTAGATTAAATTAGATCATGGGACCCTCACAATAGTCTTGTTATCTATTAATTGAATAACATAAGAATAAAATATTTTTAAAATAAACATAGGAGAATGCAACATGATTGCAAGAGTAGTTAGTCCTTTTATAAAGGAGATGCCTTTGCTTTTTTTTTTTTTTAATTAGGACAAATAGGTCAGCAAGCTATAAATTATTCTGGTGAGACAAGAATTTCTGCTATCTGGGCAGCTTACACAGAAGAAAATATACCTTTAACTCTTGCTAAGAGCTCTAAAACCCATTTATTATTTTAGTTGAGATAAGCAATTCTAGTTTTTTTTTTCTTTTTGAGAAGAGTCTCACTTGTTGCCTGGGCTAGAGTGCATGGTGTAGCCTAGCTCAAGCAACCTCAACTCCTGGCTCAACCAATCTCTGCCTAGCTCCTGAGGTAGCTGACTACAGCAGCGCCACATCGCCCGGCTAGTTGTTTTGTATATATATATCAGTGAACTTAATTCTTTCCTTTTTTAGTAAGGACGGATCTCGCTCAGGCTGTTCGACTCCTGACTCTAGCACCGCCCGCTCTCGGCCTCCCAGAGTGCTAGGATTACGGCGTGAGCCACCGCACCTGGCCTGTTCTGTTTTCTGTCGCTGCAGATTTGGCACTCAGATACTCTTATAGGTGGATCATACAGTATTTGCCGTTTGGTGACTGGCTTTATATTAACAGAATGTCTCAAGGTTCACCCATGTGTAGCATGCGTCAGAATCTCCTTCTTTTGTAAGGCTAAATATCTCCCTCGTGACGAGTACATCCCATTTTGTCACCCATGCCTCGATCGAGGACACCTGGGCTGCTTTTCATCTCTGGGCTGCTGGAGATGGGTGCAACGTCTTAGGCTCTGCTTCCCGGCACAACTTTGTAAAGCAGCAAAATGAATTCCCTTATTAACATGTGTGAAGAAGTATAAAAGACATAAACTTAAATTATGCTTAGAATCAATGTTCAGTATTACTTTCTAAAAATATCCAGGTACCAAAAATCTATTATTATTAATGTAACAATATTAACTCAGTTTTTAAAGTTACTAAGGATATTGGGAAGTGTTTAAGGTGACACACTATAAATATAATTCTGTTGATAGTTATGGTAGTTTGATCACTTTTTGGCCATAAGAAACAAATTTAAAAAAATGAGAAAATAAAAATTAAATTTAAAAAAATATATAATTACTGTTGATAGGAATTTATTGTTTAGAATGATGAATCCATTTAATTGAACAACAATTGAATTTTATAATCTCGAATGTATGTAAAGATAATGTTAACTTATTTGATCAGTAAGCCAAAGCGAGAATATTACAAAATTCAGATTAACTAATTTCCTCACAAAAAACAAATACAGATCTATAAAATAGAATGTAAACTAATACTTACAATAAAACATAGATACTATTAAGTCTAATTATGAAATGCCTGATTTTGAAAAAAGTTTATTTTATTTATATCTCACCAAGAAACAGTACAATCATCAAAGTCTGCACCTAACTATGGCACAGTTTGCCATTTTAAGGTCAGCTTGCTTATGCCAGCACGAAACTTGGAGATGCGAGTGGCGAGAAATCACGAAAGTCTTTTCACAGCTTTGGAGAATTGAATTATTTTCCTTGCAAGAAGTGGTCCAAAGCCTGGAAGAAGTGGTAGTTAGTTGGTGCAAGGTCGCTGAATACGGTGGGTGACAGAGAGTTTCCCGGGTCCAGGTTCTGCAGTTTGAACAGCATTGTTTGTGCGACGTGTGGTGAGCATGTCTTGCAAGAGGATTGGCCTGTATCTATGACCAATCCGGCTGCTTAATCACAAGTGTCCATCATTTTGTTCAGCTGATTGCATCGACATCTGCGTCATCGATTGACCAGGTTCATGGAGCTGTGGTGGATAATACCAGCACTGGACCACCAAACACACACCATTACTTTTTTTTTGATGAATATTTGGTTTTGGACTGTGTTTTGGCACTCCATCTTTGTCCAGCCACTTGTGCCAAACGCTTGTGATGTCAAAAAGAATCCATTTTTCATCATACATAAACAACACATGGTAGAAATGTTCACCT